CAGTGAAGAAAACACAGAAAAACATCAACGAACGAGCACACTATCGACCCAAAGTTTAAGTCACATGATCGTGCACCGAAAACACGATTCATGGCTCGAAGTTGGTATCAAATCGATCGCTGTGCCGAGCCCTACAAGAAAACAATCATGTTACAATCAACGGCGCATCAGAACAACCCCAGATAAGCCATGTACGAACACGCAAGTCGTAGGGCAATACATGGACTGTTCTGAAATTCCACAACTTGTTATAAAGGGGCAAATCTATCATTTTGCACCCTATTTTTTAATTTCTTTTAATGCAATTTAATCTTAATTTCTAGCAATTAGGGTTACTTTTGATCATCCACCCATGTTTGGGGCATACTTCGATATATATGTAACATCATTGTATGCAGAAAAAGAAGAGACACAGAGATAGACACACACACAAGAGAGAGTATTCACTTAATATAAGTTTCTCTTTCTTACCATTGTTGTGTCATGCTTGAGAGAGAGAGAGTGACGTGAGAAAAACTTTCGATCGGTACCCGTAAGGTTGAGGTAAACCTTCTCTCTCTTCTTTTTTTTTCTTCTTCTCTTCCCCTTCTCCCCTCTCTTCTCCCTTTACTTCGTCTGAGTTCCTCGTGGAAGTCAAGCACGGCAGTGGCAGTATCGTGCATGCCTCTTCCTTGGTCTCATAGGTCACGCATGGTAATGGCAGCACCATGCATGAGTCTTCTTCCCCTTCTTCTTGTCTGTCCCTTTCTCCTAGTGAAGTCTGTAGATGGCGCTGCCCATCGTCGCCCACAGACGTAGCTTTGACGTCTTGGTGAAGAACCTAGACGGTGAAGTGTGTTTCCGCCTACATGAGTCTTCCTCAGCTGCATATCTAATGTAGATGGCGATACCTATTGCCACCTGCTAGAGGCCCTGACAACACCCATTGCCATCCGATGCTCATCGCCTTTCTCCCTGTGTTCCACGCCTATCGCCATGCGACCTATGAGAAACCATCGTCGAATGCCTCATCAGGGGTCAGCACCATCCGCAAGGGACGTGTTGTCTCCACGCGTTGCCCAACAATGATGCCTGTTGATGTCCGGACATCTCCTCTCTTTGCTGTCTCGCCCTATTCTTTTCACCCTTTTCATTTCTCACTTGACTGAGGGTAGGCTTAGCTTAGCGCTGCCGCGCCAACCTCGGTTTCAAGTAGTATTGCCACCGTCTTGCTACCACTCTGAGTCATGACTTCTGGCCTTCATACTAGTCTCACCCCTCCATCAAGCTCTCTTCTCCTTTCTATCCTTCATCTAACCTTGCACTTCATCACCTTCTCACATGAATATGCATTGCCCTAAGACAAGGGTGGATCCCTTTGACCTACTTGTCTTACAAATTAACCGTAGAAGTGTTGTGCTAAAAAACAAGAGGATTATAGGTCAAGGGAGGTGATTCCGAACTAGCTCAAGCAGTTGGGGGGCTTTCTTCGTGATCTAAGAGGGCAACCACGAGTCTCTCTTCTAGCATTATGGAGAAAAATGGACGGAGAATAGAGGGTGCCCCGTCATCCATATGGATTGTTACGATGTGAGAAGCCTCACTTGCCCCGAACACCTTCTTTAACTCTTCGAGCTTTATTTGACCCTTGTTGATAAGGGTTTCGATAGTGCCATTGAGCTTATAGCAGTCGTAAGTGGGGTGGCCTACTCTCCTGTGATAGGCACAGTACCTCTCATTTGTCTCCTGCCCAATAGACTCTGCAGTATCGACCTCTAGCAACTAGATCATGTTCTCTTCTAGCAGCAGTCAGAGCAGTGCAGGAGTCCACTCCTTGTTGAAGGGGTAAACCTTATTCTGGTGCTGGATCCAGAAGTCGCTTTGCTTATTATTTTTAGGAGGTAGGACCTGATTGTAGGACTGTTGCTTGCCCCCAGGCCTGAGGCGTCTGTGCCTTAAAGAGGTCCAGAGTTTGAGGAGCCACGCTCTAGTGTCAGTGACAGTGATGGCCATGCTGATCACTGCCTTTTGGTTGCCCCGACTATTGGAGCGAGAGTTTGAGTCGGAGGGTTGCTGGCAAGAGATGCCTTGACGCTTGAACAACCCCTCAATACAGACTGCCTTAGAGATGAGCTCCGACATGGAGGGTGGATTGGATGCCTCGACGTGCAAGGTGATCTCGGGAAGCCTGTTCCGTATGCAAGTCTGGACCGCTACCTTCTCAGTCATGGGAGTGGCATGAAAGGTTGCCAACTCTCTCCATCGGGTGATGAACTTGTAAACCGGCTCACCAGGGTCCTGCATCAGAGTGAGGAGCTCGATGGTTTCCACGTTTCTTTGGACTTCGTAGAAGCGTTGGTAGAACAACTGCTCCATTTCTTACCACGCGTGCACAGAGTTTGGAGGCAACCGAGCATACCATTGGAATGCTATCCCTTCAAGAGTTTCGACGAACTGGTGGAAGAGAAGTCGTTCGTCATTCACCGTCTCTCGACAGGCTGCTTGGAAGTGGGCAATATGCTGGTGAGGGGACATAGTACCGTTGAACAGGGGGAATTGGTAGTTTGGGAGAAACGACACCTGGTCAATGTACAAAGGGTACGGCTTCTGGTAGAACGGCCCCTCCTGCATGTCTGGGACCTTGTTCTTGAGACTATGGGCCACCATAGCATCTATATCGGTTTGGGAGATCGAGCTGTCTTGGAAGGCAGGTGGGCTAGTCTGCCTAGGAACTGTGTCCTCACCAGTCGAGGAATCAGTTGAAGAAGGGGACCTAGAGGCCTTTAGACGCTCCATCTTCCGTAAGATGGCTTGCATCATTTCCTCAAACTTGTTCATCTGCTCCTCCTGAGCGTCATCTAGATCGTTGATCACCATGACACTGATCGTCTCTTCTGAAGGGTCAAAGTTTGGTGGCGCAGTGGACTGCCGGGGTTGGCGAGTGGTGTGTGGCAAGTTAGTCTGGAGGGGCTTAGCTTACCCAAACTGAACTCGAGCTTTGTATGCCGATCTTGTGATGACCGGTTCTTAATGGTCTTGGGACCATGACTTCTGAGCAGTGATGACCGAGCAATACTCTTAGACCTGCTCAGGTTCTGGGGTTTGGAGAGGGAAAAAGGGGTTACAAGCTAGGAGGTCGTCAAGGGTGGTGACCTCAACTGTCTTGGAGGTTTCCTTGGTCAGGATCTGCAGGCCTCTTTTCTGCTTAATCTTGAGACGGCTGTGGACTTTATTCCAGAACTGAGCCTGAGACCTAGGCTGCCCCACTTTCTTTGAACATGTGAGGGATATGCCGATTAACTAGGTAGAGAATGGGGCCCAAGGATGGCAGACAACATGGGTTTCTGCCTTGGAGGCTGGAGGCCTCAGTCTGGCATCAGGTTGCTGCCCCGAATTCCTTTGTGGGGCCTTGGCGCACGGCTGACCTGAGGCTAGCTCAAGATCGTATTCTTAGGGAAGACCTTTGTGTACCAGGGCTCGAGGTGCTTGCCTGACGTCGAAAAAGCGACAGCGGAAGGAGCTGGTCCATGACTCCACCTGAGTCGAGGTCAAGGAAGAACCTACAAAGATGATGTGTGTGCACCTTTAGGGTTAGCTGTCCCAGTGATTTGGGGGTCAGCTCGGGCCCGATCAATGGGTTCGACCTGGGGAGGTCGAGACCCAAGAGCTCGTGTCTGTGAGGGACGAGGCCAAAGCTCATCTTTCATAGAGTGGAACTGTGTGTGTTGGGAGGGAGGACGAAGCCGTCGCCTCATGTGCTCGAGGTGGCATAGAGCTAGCGCTGCCCCGAGCTGTGGAAAGCAAATGAATGGCCCATGTAGGGTTCAGCACGAGAAGGCTTAGCCCTGGACGGGTGTTCAAGGCAACATGACGGTTGCCCCAAGGTGTGGCTCGAGTGGTTGGACCACAGGCTTGTAAGTATGTGAGAGAGGTGGAGACCATGGGGACTTCGCCTCGATGTGCCGAGCCTCTAGATGTAAAAGTTCGGAGTGGCGAAGGAGTATGGGGGTTACCTCACGACGAACCTTGGGAGCGACGACAACTTGCTTGCCTTTCACAAAAGGGGCAGCCTTCCGGTGTACCTCAGCAATATGACTGGCAAGAGACTTTCCAGTAGCAGGGTGCATGTTGTATGTGGTGGCAGATGTGTCATCGATGTAAGGGGCCTTGATGGAGGGTTCACCAGGGCGAGGAAGCGGGGAGTCAGGGACCTTTAAGTCCCTTCTCGCACCAACCCAAGAAAGAACTTGGGAGCTGGACCGTGAGTTGCGACTCAGAATGGGAGTAGGGAAGGAAGCTTGAGCAGTTCGCTCCCTGAGACAGTCACAAGCGGGGATAAGGAAATCCTCGACTCGGATGTACAGGTTGAACAACCCAGATGCCATAAAAATTAATACAGAAAATAAAGAAGGATACTGATCAAACAAGAGCGAACTAACTAAGGGGTAGTAAGTCCCCAGTGGAGTCGTCAAGCTGGTTAGGTTCCTCGATCTCGCCTTCCAGATCTAGATGATCTGGCGGCATGTATCTTGCGTTTTGGTGAACCCGAAATTTGAGATCAGTTTCTCAGAACCTTGCTCGAGAGCAATAGCAGGTATACCAACCAATGAGAGAGGAATTATAGGTGGGTTTGAGACTTACTCGGGCTGACTAGTGTGGGTGCCCTCTTTGATCACAAAAAAAGCCCCCCAACTGCTTTAACTGGTTTGGAATCAGTCTCCCTTGAACCAAATTCTTTCCTCACTCTCTCTCTCTTAGGGTATGACAAATGAATTGAAACCAAAATTTATCAATTTTTTAAAGGATGTTTTTTTTTTGCAAAGAAAGCACTCTTTCTTAAGGGGTGCTTGTTTACAAAGAAAGCCCTCATGGCATTTTCCCATGAAACATTTTCCTGCTTTTGTTTCAAGGAAATATGCCCTTGGATTGCCACTTTCCTTTCATGGTACGGAAAGTCGGACATTCCCTTCCTTGCAGCCTTGCCCAATGTGCATATGTCTCGTGTCTCCCTTTCATTTTACCGGTGGAAGAGTATCTCTTTCAAGCTCTTCCCATTTTTTGAAGTCGCATCTCTTTCTCTTTCTTTTATCTTTGATCTCTCTCTGTCGCTCTTATTTTGCAGGGAAGAACCGTTGAACGATCTTTCTGTCAATCTCTCCCATCTCACTAGAATTGTGGATGCTTGGTATGGTGCTCCCCTTCGTCTCTCTCTCTCAATTGACATCGTAAATTTTTCTATTGGGCTTACTGCAAAGCTATTTTATATAGTAATCAAGATTTAAATAATTATTTTTTGGTATCACAAAGTAAATCTTTAGATCAAGCTTTTACCCATTTATAGAGTAAATCTTTAAACCGAGCTTTCCCTCATTTGCAGATTTACTTGGTAAACCAAGCTTTCCCCCTTGATTTACTGTATAGTGGCTCCTCTCTCTCTTGATTGACTTTAGTAATTTTTCTACCGAGTTTACTGTAAAGCTATATTTTTACATAGTGATCAAGCTTCATATCGTTATTTTACAGAATTACGATGTAAATATATAAATCAAGCTTCCACCATTTTATGGTGTAACTCTCTGAATTAAGCTTTCTCTCATTTTACAAACTTACTTGGTAAATGCAGCTTTCCCTCTTTTACCCTGATTTAAGGGATTTAAATACTCTCTTGCCTTTCTATATTTGTATATCAAACGTGTTGTTCGAGCATATACATTGTTGTATACTAGTTGTCAATCTAGATTTGAAACCATGTAATTCAAATTGAACATGCATTATTTTCCTGCATATTTGGGTAGTTCTATGGATTTTCTCTTTGAAATTTTATGGGGAGAGTTTACAGTTTTATTATGGTTTTGTTGCAAAACTGTTTCTATAAGAGAAATTTCATAATGGATTGAATTTTTAATGTCCATGTTTCAATTTCTGTGTTCTTAAATTTCCTTCTGGGATTTAGACAGAGTGAGAAAAAGGGATCTGTTGATTCATGAGTTGGAGTGGTGAATGTTAATGTAAAGTTCATGAGATATCAAAGGTCTGTTGATTTTTCAGAAGGAAATGGTTTGTTCTTTTATGTAACTAAGAAAAAGGAAATTAGCTATTCAATTATTATCATCAGCCCAAGTCAAGGTTAATGTAGCTGGTGTCATCAATATAATGCAATTAGTGATCATATGTTTTGCTTCATTTTGTAGAGGATGAAGCTGATGTCTCCTTTATGGAATTTTCTCATTTTGTTCTCATGATTGTTTTCTGTTTATAAAGGAATCTCCTTTCACTGATGTTGCTCGTGATTGTTTAGGCTGGTTTTCTTGTTGCTCGTATTTTCTATGTTTCTTTCTTTAATTTATATTTTATATTTGAATTAGAGGGAGTTCCTGATCGTGTAACATAGGGCCTTGAAAAGCTAGAGTATGTCAAGACTATATCACCAGTAGTTGTTTGAAGTGCTCCATCAATGCTGTTAGGGCCTGGGTTGCTCTTAGAACTCCCATGGATCACTTTGATGGCACCCATTATTGGTGGCAGCCAATTTGATGGGTGTGTATTTTGGGCATATTCCAGGCAATTGATTGCCACTGTTCATTTAAATCTGCCATCAGGCAAGCCAATATCATCGTTTTTTATTTGAACTGATTCGTAATGGTCATTGAGTTTGTGGCCAAGCCGGGTAAGATTTGATGGTTTCTCTTCTTCCATAAAGTCCATTAAATGCCACCATCTCTGGTCTCCAAATAGTAGGCCCTTTTTAGGTGTCAGTGGTAAAAACCATTGCTGAAATAGGGTCTTCTCTTGATGGTTGGGATACTCATGATGATCGGAACAGATTAAGGAAGATATTTTGAAGTTACTGAGCAGGCGGTTGACAACCCCCTTATCCCTCTTGCACATTATACACTAATTTATGTTTTATAGGACTTGATGTTTCGAGTGATGTATAGCTAACACTTTACTTAAATCAATAGACAAACAAAGGCCTGGACCCTAGGTGGGGCTGATCATATCCAAGCTCCACTTGATGTTGCAGCTAATGAGGTAGATGGATTTTACAAGAAGTCACCATCAATATTTGGGTTCTCTAAATTATCATGTCCTCTTTGTTGTTAGTTGCTAGTGTTTTCTTGCAAAGAAGATGGCAATATGGATGCCTCACTGAGGTCCTCATCTTTCAAATCTCATTGGACCAACCCATTATGCCCTCGCTTTGGAGGATGTCTCGAATGGTGGATTAACATTGGAGGTAATGTCAGCCAAGGTGAGGTTGCTAGTGCGCTTGTGTATTTGCATCTTGTATACTTACCATCTCCCAGGCGGAATCTAGTATGTCTCCAAAACTTTTCTTGTATCATACTTATAGTTTTCCATGTTCCCGATGACTGATTCCTGCTGTGTTTTCCTTATCTGTCCAACCCAAATTTGTGTTGACCAGTCTCTTCCATAGCTTGCCCAATATGTGGTGAGGGCAAGAGAATCAAATGATATATACATTTACTAGGATTTGTTGTGGGAATCTGATCTAATGATATTTCAAGGAATCACAATTTCCTAAGAGATGCGAGTGGCTTGCCATGTCGGTTTTGTGTTAATGTCACCTACCATCTTGGATCAACCTACTCAATTTCTCATGAAGATGATGACCAGAGATAAATGTTTTTATGTTGTTGATAAACTCTTTTGAAGTGATTTTTTCTGTACCTAAATAGAACTTTAATTTTAGTTAGTACAAGATGCTGGATTGGGATAACAAAAAGGATATTCTAGTTTTTATTTTATTTTATTATTATTACTAATGTCAATATTGGATAGTTAGTACAAGATGCTGGATTGGGATAACAAAAAGGATATTCTAGTTTTTATTTTATTTTATTATTATTACTATAGTCAATATTGGATTGTTGTTGATTTTCAGTTTCATCTGCATAATTCTATGTGGTTACATCAAAGTGGTGCGGCCCTTCACTGCACCATATATAGCTGACTAGATTTTGCAAGATTTGCCAGCCGTGGTGGTTCATAGCCCTCATATGTGGGCACATCATGCCATGTGATGCGCCCCCTATGTGGCCTCTAGGCTTTTGTGAAGTGAAAATTTTCCTTTGATTTTGAAAATTACAGACCTTTTAGGTTTTTTGTGCAAAACATCCAGTTGATTTACTGCTATCTTTGAAGGATTTTGGACAAATATTTTTTGGTTCATCAAGGGTATTAAGAGGCAAGAAGAATAAACCAAGAAATCAAAATTTCTTCCGGTTTTGGGTTTGAGTTTGAAACCAAAATCAATTTTCTCAGTATGTCTCATTACTACTTATTTACGAACAATGTCTTCATATTCTTCAAAGTAACAAAGATCTGGCACAAACACATGTGAGACTTCCCTATTGTCGAGACCGAAATAGAGTTTATTGTACACTGTGGAAAACCTTATACGTGGGAATTTATTGGCAAATGGAACATCTTGCTAGTATATGCATGCTTAAAGAGAGTGATGAAATTAGAAAAGATCCAAAACAAACAAAAGAGAGTAATAAAGCATCAAGAGTTGTATGAAGTCTGCATATGAGTTGTATGCAGTCTGAATATTTTTTGTGAAAATAAAGATGATGATGAAGTTGCATCTGGTTGTAGGATTTATAAGAGGGAGAGGATGACTGATATTGGCAGTATTGGGTAAAAGCAACCCCATTAGAAGAAAGATCCAAAAACAAACAAAAGAGAGCAATGAAGCATCAAGAGTTGTACGAAGTCTGAATAGTTTTTGTGAAAATAAAGATGATGATGAAGTTGCATCTGGTCGTAGGAGTTATAAGAGGGAGAGGATGACTAACATTGGCAGTATTGGGCAAAAGCGGCCCCATTAGAAGGGGCTTGCATTTGGGTGCATTTTTCACCTAGTACCCTGTGGTTGTTGCAGAAGGAAGAGTAGTTGTACGCGCTGCAATTGAAAATCGATAAAACATGAAGAAAGGAACAAAGTTTTTAAGCAAATTGCCAAATAGTTTTACCTCCAGTGTTCAACTCAATGTAATTTGTGTTGATAACATGAAGTTTATGACTTAGGCAATTGGACAGTTTGGTCTCCGTAGTCTTACATCTAAGAAGCATAGGGATCCCTTATTGAGAGACAAGGTGAAGGACATTAAAAAGATTTTGAATTCCCATAGTGGTGTGGAACAAGTATGGCATCACAATTATGCACGATGATTTGGTTCGATAGAAGGACGAGCTCAATTATTAATTATTTGGGCAGCTATTAGAATTTTTCTTGAAATTTGTTAATATATCGGACCATTCACATGATGCAAATTACTTGTTGAAGTTGTTGGATTAGATTGTTGATGAGGTTGGGGAAGAATATGTGGTACAAATTTTTAAAGACAATGCTGCCAATTGTATACTCTGTATTGGCATCTGTTGGCATTGACGAGCACATGGTTGTTGGAGACGGTAGTGAGATCGGTTCGGGATTCGCCGAACCCCCCTATAGTGGAAGCTCCTTGGGGTTTGGATCGACATCCGTACAATGATCAAGACAAGGAACGATATCCTTAGGTTTATGGAAGCGAGATCCCATGTCAATGGGTTCGATGTTTTGATTAGCAGGAATCTAAGTTCCACTATTCATAAAATTGTGGTTGTCCAGTAGAGCTAGTATGATTTTCCTTGGTTAAGGAATCGAGGTTTAAGTTTGTCATATAACAAAATATCGAGATTCTCAACTATGTTTGGCATATGTTTTAAGTCTTAAGTATCACTCTCGGGAGTGGTTAACTATGAGAAAAAGGGACTAGATATTACCATCATGGAACTTATGATTCCTAAATAATGGGAACTTGGGACAATGACAATCTATAATTTGGTATCATCTGTTAATGAAAGTAGATCCTACAAACATGGAACGTAAGATTTTAATATACTAAAAACTTGGACCATGGTTGATGTGAGTGGGAATCTATTTCGAAATGAAATTAGATTCCACTGATGGATGGAACGTGGTCCCCTTTTTTGGGAGCGAGATCCCAAAATCAAAAAACCGGGGTCCCTATAAGATCCTTTGTAGGAACCGTGGGATCGAGGTTCTGGAGCAGGATCGTCACCCTACACACAAGGTTCCCTTAACTATGGACGAGAAAGCAACTATTTTGGACTCCTTGTGCAACACATTATCTAGACCTAATGCTTTAAAATATA